CCGGCGGTGGACGGACCGGGGCGGGGGGAGCAGCTGGCGGCCGCGGGCCGAGCCCTCACCTCCATCTTGGTCTGGATCCAGGGTCCCACGATGTTGGCCTGGCTGGCGAACTGCCGACGTAAGTGCTCGTTGGACTGCTGCTTGCTCTGCTCGTCGAGCAAGGCATGGTCCCTCTTGGGCACCAACTGCTGGACCTGCGAGGAACAGGCAACGGCGCTGGAAAAGCCACCGGCCCCCGCGGCGCAGGGCGGACAGGAGGACGCGGCGGCAGGGACAAGCCTTCTCTGCCAGGGCTGCTGTTTTGGGAAGGCTACAGGAAGGCACGGCCATAAAACCTACGGATCGTAGCTAGTCTAGGCGCGATAGCAAACGGTTTCTGAAGCCTCCGGCCGGCCGCTCTGCAGCGGGAGGAGGGAGGCTGCTGCTCCTCAGCAGATCCCTTTGCTGCCCCTGTGCTGATACGCTAACAGACTGCCTCGCGGGTGTTTCCACCACGTATTCTTCCCGTTCCTCTTGGGGAGCTACAGCGCCGCAGCACAGCGTCACGGACCCCGGCGCCTCCGAAGCCTGACGTTGCTGGGCGCAAAAACCAACGCGCAACGGAGCCCAGCCTTGCTCTGCGGTTCACGGGCCTTGCTTTGCTCAACGGCTTCCGGCCCAGCCCATCCGGACCGGCAGCACGTAGGAAAAATCGAATCAGTTTTAGTCTGCCCCCCTTCGGCGTTTCGAATGCCAACAGCAGCTCGTTTTTGCAGCGAGGGCTTCTACGATCAGGGCTGTCCTGAGTCGCTACGCCTACAGCACTCACCCGCTCCCACTTGGAGTTGATGATCTGCGGGGTGACAGAGGTGTAAGGGTTGTTGCCAGACAGCTTGATGCTGTTGAAGTCCGCGATCCTCTGCGCCTCCCTCTGGATGCCCAGGATGGCTTCGCGCTCCTTGTCAGCATCGGGCAGGGTGGACTTGAACTGGTCGTGAGCAGCAATCAGTCCCTGCGAGAGACGGGACCCACGTTAGAGCGCTGGCGCGCCGCGTGGCGCAGCCTGCTTGAGCTGCCGGGGTACCGGAAGCCCTGGGGACCTCAAGGTCCCTTTGAGGACGCTGCTCGCACGGGCACCTTTCCACGGAGGACAAGCTCTCTGGGTCTTACAGACCCCAAAGCTCACAGCAGCATGGAAAGACGGCGGAGAACGTGAGACAAAGGCGTCTGCAGAAGGCCGAAGGCTACGGAGCCTCCCCGTCTCCTCGGGCACCCGCCGGCCTCCTACCTCGATCTCCTCGATGGTGTGGACGATGAACATGTCCTGAAGGTCTTCCATGGCACTCTCCATCCAGTTGTTGAAGGGGGCCGCCCTCTTCGCGTACTCGAGGTGCAGCTCGTCGATCGTTTCCAGCTGCTTCTCCGTTTTCTGCGGGAAGGAAAAGCCGAGTTAGGAACAGAGGAACCTCCCCGGCGGCAAGCCACGGCCACACCGTCTCCTCCGCTGCGATTCGGGGCGCGGAGCCAGCGAGCGGACAGGTTTTATTTACCTCGAGGGCTTCTCTCCTACTGTGGGTCAAGGAACCCAGAACATCCCATTGGTCGCAGATCTTCTGGCACCGAGCGTTCACGCTGGGAGAGTCGTAGTAATCCAGCTCGCTTCAGCAAAGGGAAGAGAAGCGCCGGGGTCAGGACGCGAGAGGACGCAGGGGGCCGGAAGGGACCGCGCTTGGGGCCGCCCCCGCTCCCAG